GACCTCATAAAGATCAGATCAGAAATAAAAAGAAATGAAGAAAACGATAGTAAAGATCAATAAAACTAAAAGCTGGTTCTTTGAGAAGATAAAAAATATTGATAAACCATTAGCCAGACTCATCAAGAGAAAAAGGAAGACTCAAGTCAACAGAATTAGAAATGAAAAAGGAAAAGTAACAACTAACACTGCAGAAATACAAAGGATCATGAGCAACTACAGGCCAATAAAATGGACAGCTGCAAGAAATGGACAAATTCTTAGAAAAGCACAACCTTCCAAGACTGAACCAGGAAGAAATAGAAAATATAAACAGAACTACCACAAGCACTTAAATTGAAACTGTGCTTTAAAATCTTCCAACAAACAAAAGCCCAGGATAAGATGGCTTTACAGGCAAATTCTATGAAACATTTAGAGAAGAGCTAACACCTATCCTTCCCAAACTCTTCCAAAATATAGCAGAGGAGGAACACTCCCAAACTCATTCTACAAGGCCACCATCACCCTGATACCAAAACAAGGCAAAGATGTCACAAAAAAAGAAAACTGCTGGCCAATATCACTGATGAACCGAGATGCGAAAATCCTCAACAAAATACTAGCAAACAGAATCCAGCAGCATATTAAAAGGATCATACACCATGATCAATTGGGGTCTATCCCAGGAATGCAAGGATTCTTCAATATACCTAAATCAGTGTGATATACCATATTAAAAAACTAACTGATAAAATCCATATGATCATCTCAATAAATGCACAAAAAGCTTTCAATAAAATTCAACACCCATTTATGATAAAAACCCTCCAGAAAATAGGCATAGAGAGAACTGACCTCAACATAATAAAGGTTGTATATGACAAACCCACAGCTAACATCATTCTCAATTGTAACAAACTGAAACCATTTCCACTAATATCAGGAACAAGATAAGGTTATCCACTCACCACTATTATTCAACATAGTTTTGGAATTTTTAGCAACAGCAATAAGAGAAGAAAAAGAAATAAAAGGAATCCAAATTGGAAAAGAAGAAGTAAAGCTGTCACTGTTTGCAGATGACATGATAGTATACATAGAGAATCCTAAAGATGCTACCAGAAAACTACTAGAGCTAATCAATGAATTTGGTAAAGTAGCAGGATACAAAAATTAATGCACAGAAATCTCTTGCATTCCTATACACTAATGATGAAAAATCTGAAACAGAAATTAAGGAAACACTCCCATATACCATTGCAACAAAAAGTATAAAATACCTAGGAATAAACCTACCTAAGGAGACAAAAGACCTGTATGCAGAAAACTATGACACTCATGAAAGAAATTAAAGATGATACAATCAGATGGAGGGATGTACCATGTTCTTGGATTGGAAGAATCAACATTGTGAAAATGACTCTACTACCCAAAGCAATCTACAGATTCAATGCAATCCCTATCACACTACCAGTGGCATTTTTCACAGAACTAGAACAAAAAACTTCACAATTTGCCTGGAAACACAAAAGACCCATAATAGCCAAATCAATCTTAAGAAAGAAAAACGGAGCTGGAGGAATCAGGCTCCCTGACTTCAGACTATACTACAAAGCTACAGTAATCAAGACAGTACAGTACTGGCACAAAAACAGAAATATAGATCAATGGAACAGGATAGAAAGCCCAGAGATAAACCCACACACATATGGTCACCTTATCTTTGATAAAGGAGGCAAGAATATACAATGGAGAAAAGACAGCTTCTTCAATAAGTGGTGTTGTGATAACTGGACAGCTACATTTAAAAGAATGAAATTAGAACACTCCCTAACACCATACACAAAAATAAACTCAAAATGGATTAAAGACCTAAATGTAAGGCCAGACACTATCAAACTCTTAGAGGAAAACATAGGTAGAACCCTGTATGACATAAATCACAGCAAGATCTGTTTTGACCCACCTCCTAGAGAAATGGAAATAAGAACAAAAATAAACAAATGGGACCTAATTAAACTTAAAAGCTTTTGCACAACAAAGGAAGCCATAAACAAGCTGAAAAGACAACTCTCAGAATGGGAGAAAATATTTGCAAATGAAGCAACTGACTCTCCAAAATATACAAGCAACTCATGCAGCTCAATAACAAGAAAACAAACAACCCAATCCAAAAATGGGCAGAAGACCTAAATAGACTTTTTTCCAAAGAAGATATACAGATTGCCCACAAACACATGAAAGGATGCTCAACATCACTAATCATTAGAGAAATGCAAATCAAAACTACAATGAGGTATTACCTCACTCCAGTCAGTATAGCTATCATCAAAAAATCTACAAACAATAAATGCTGCAGAGGGTGTGGAGAAAAGGGAACAGTCTTGCACTGTTGGTGGGTAAGTAAACTGATATCGCCACTATGGAGAACAGTATGCAGGTTCCTTAAAAAACTAAAAATAGAACTACCATACGACCCAGCAAGCCCACTACTGGGCATATACCCTGAGAAAACCATAATTCAAAAAGAGTCAGGTACCACAACGTTCATTGCAGCACTATTTATAATAGCCAAGACATGGAAGCAACCTAAATGTCCATCGACAGATGAATGGATAAAGAAGATGTGGCACATATATATTACTGTGGAATATTATTCAGCCATAAAAAGAAACAAAATTGAGTTATTTGTAGCGAGGTGGATGGATCTAGAGTCTGTCCTACAGAGTGAAGTAAGTCAGAAAGAGAAAAACAAGTACCGTATGCTAACACATATATATGGAATCTAAGAAAACAAAATGGTTCCGATGAACCTGGAGACAGGACAGGAATAAAGACGCAGACCTACTAGAGAATGGACTTGAGGACAGGCGGGGCGGGAAGGGTAAGCTGGGATGAAGTGAGAGAGTGGCATGGACATACATACATTACCAAACGTAAAATAGCTAGCTAGTGGGAAGCAGCCGCATAGCACAGGGAGATCAGCTCGGTGCTTTGTGACCACCTAGACGGGTGGGATAGGGAGTGTGGGAGGGAGATGAAGAGCGAGGAGATATGAGGATATATGTATACGTATAGCTGATTCACTCCGTTATACAGCAGTAACTAACACAACAATGTAAACAATTATACTCCAACAAAGATGTTACAAAATAATATTAATAATAACAATCCACCCAAGGCCTGCAGTGACTGCTATGGCTATGGCAATAATTTTTGCTTTTTTGAGGGGAAGAGGATACCCATTATCAGAATTAGGAAGTTCTATTATATTACTGTACTGCAAAACAACAACAACAATTTTATGAATCAATTTTGAATTTTGCCAGATACTTTTTTCTTCATCTGTTGTGATAATATTATTTTTCTTTTTTTTCCTGTTAATATAGTTAATTGCATTGATTGATTTTCAAATATTAAACCAAATTTCCATTCATAAAATAAACGCTACTGTGTCTCACAGCATCAGTGCTTTCCATTCTGACAGATTCAGTTTACTATAATCTTGGACAGGATTTTTGCTTCTACAATCATGGAAGAGTTTGGCATGTAATTTTCTATTACAAAATCCATGTCATGTTTTGGTATGGGAGGAGGGTTTGATTTGATAAAACATGTTGATATCTTTTTGGAAGGAGATTTTCATGAGAAGATTTCTAATTACAAATATATTGAAAAAATATATTTTTTCTTACGTTAGTTTTAAAATTTGTGTTTTTGAGAAATTTGTACATTTTATATTTTTCACACCTATTGGCCTGAATTTGTTTGCAATAAACTTCTGTTATCTTTTAAATTTCTATAGGATTTGTATTGTGTCCCTTTTATTTCCATTGTTGACAGTGAGTACTCTCTCCTTTTTCATAATTGGTATTAGTAGGAGTTTATCAATTGTATTAATCATTTTAAAACACCAACTTTTGGCTTTGCTGATTTTTTCTGTTATATTTTTCTATTATTTTAAATTTTGTTCTAAGCAGTATTTTATCTATATTCCAAATCTTTTAATGTATTTTATTTTCATTACTATTAAAGTTAAAAATATTTTCTAATTTTCATTTTGGGTTATTTAGAAATGTTACTTAATTACCAAATATTTGAACTTTTTAAAGTTATTTTATTATTGGTTTTATTATTGATTTTTTTTACTTGTGCTGTTCAAATCCATATTTTTCTGTTTTTGTGTGTGTGTACATGTGGTGTGTTCTATCAGCCTAAGAGACATATGTTAAAATTTCTAAGTACATATGTAGATGTATTAATACAGTCTCTGTCCATCTTTTGCTTCATTTATTTTTAGCCCATGTGATTAAATTTATACAAATTTAGAGTTGTGACATCTGCCTGCTGAATTAACTGTTTTAACATTATGAAATATTCTTTTTAAAGTATAAGTTTTATGTAGAAAGCCTGTTTACATTCTGAAGTCCCATTGCTGAAACATAATTACAGCTCCTTACATAATTATAGATTCTTATGTGGTGTATTGGCTCTGGTTTCACCACATTATAGATGATATGTGTAGCACAGAGCAGAGTACACAATGGATTTTAAATAAAATAATCTCATTTTTTTCTTCAAATCATGGGATTTCTTTGTGCCTATATATCATGTTTGATATGGGCCAATATTGTTGAAAAATCTGGGAAAGACCTTGATACCCTAGGTTTGGTAATAATGGAAGGTTTATTTTTATTCTAAGGTAAAAGTGGATATAGATAATTAGAGCCTTTAAGGGAAAACAGGTGATAAGCCCCAACCTTTCTCTGTGCCATTAACAATGGCATTCGGTGATGCTGTTAACTTAATGGATAATGGCGGAAGCAGAGTAAGGATCTGGGGCTGGCAGAAGAAGTGGAATTGCTGAATCAAGGATTTGCTTAAGAAGTCAGGAGCAAACTGTAGAATACAGATTCTTGGGAAGTTCTGGGACAGGATTGCTCCCTTTCCCTCTAAAACTTACTCGGTTCAATTTAGCAGTCTTCTACTTGACACTAACCATATTCTAATATTTCTAGGTGTTGAAGTTCAAAGACAAATAAGACGCAGTTGCAGTTCTTGAGATATCTGTCATCTGATGGATGAAAGAAACACAAACAAATGTTTTGAAGTGAAATAAAAGAGAATGTGAAGTCAGACCATTGCCAGACACAAAGGAATACCTGTGACAGTGCCAACTTGTAATGCAGCCACTAACACGAAGGGAGAGGTGGGCATAAGACAGGGAGTAAATGGAGGGGTGAATAGTAAGAGCTAATTAAATGCTTGTTTACTGGATCTTGAAATTATTGGAGATTTTTGTCAAATGTTTAATTTTCATATGCAATCTAGAATATTAGTACAATTTTGCATATTACATTTAGAGAGTAACATGTTTGTATAATAACATTAAAAATTTTTCTAATTTTTCTGTATATTATATGCACTAAAACTTTGTAAAATATATTAACTCCTCTTCCAAAAATCAATAATCTATCATCTTGTAGAAGGCACTTGTTTGCTCAAAGTTACATGTAAATAAAATTCTATGACCATTTTTTTTAATTTTAATTTTTATTTTTTTTGCGGTACGCGGGCCTCTCACTGTTGTGGCCTCTCCCGTTGCGGAGCACAGGCTCCGGATGCGCAGGCTCAGCAGCCACGGCTCACGGGCCCAGCCGCTCCGCGGCACGTGGCATCTTCCCGGACCGGGGCATGAACCCGCGTCCCCTGCATCGGCAGGTGGACTGTCAACCACTGCGTCACCACAGAAGCCCTCTATGACCTTTCTTTCCTTGTAGGTGATATTTTGATGAGAGAAGGTGCATAGCAAGAGACCTCCTATTTATATGAAGGAAACTACAGCTTTTAGATTTCTAATGCTAGTGGAGGAGAATTTGACTGAGCTAAACATGTTGAAAATTCAGCCTTGACAGCTGGAAAAGATAAATGAAATCCAGTTTTTCTGCCTGGGTCATTATTTAAGTTCCTGCTTGGGATTAGGATAGGACTTGAAGGCATCACCTTCTGTAGATCATCTGCCTTGCTCCTAGATGCTTCCATTCATACTGGGTACATTTGCCCCAGCAGAGATGATTTATAGGGGATGATATTCCTTGTATATGGTAAATGTCACTAAATTATACCAGGAAATTTGAAAAGCAATTAATTTAGAAAAAAATTAAGTATATGAATAATTTTAAAAATCCTAGAAGTTAATAATAGTTCAGTTCCATCTGGAATGTTACAAAATTGAAAGCCCTAGATATAACTTCTTGAGCAACTGCTCAGAAATCTGACTTTTAAAAATTGCCAAAGAGCAAAGAAGTGGAATGGGAATCATATGATGATGCATATGACAAAAGAATAAGAAGTTATGTAATTTTTTTCCTCTGGATTGATTGTCTTAGAGGTTGGAGTCTTGGTTTCCTATGTAAAGGTATGCAACTCATTTTTGATGCCTAAATACTAAGTGAATAACTCAATTATAATCTATCATCAAATTAAACATGAAAATAGACTTTTTATTTCAACTTAATAAAAATATTTTATATTAATTGAACATGTACCTACTATGTGCAAGGCACTGAGTGAAATAAACACGTCAGGAATGCAGGATCTGCTCTCAAGGAATTTTAATCTAGTAGAAGAAAGAAAGCAGACACTCAGGAAAGGATGGAGCACATTCCAAATAGTAAATTACAGACTTTCAGTGAGTAATAAAATCATGCTAAGGCACTCAGAAAGCAGAGTATTTCCAGCTCTGTTAGTCCAGAGACTTTTAATGGAGGTCATGAAGGCAATTATATTTGAACTGCCTCTTGAAGAATGAGTAAGATTTGAATAGATGTAAATGAGTGGGAAACTTTTCCACAGAGGAGTATTAGTAAACATGTAAATAGGAAAACACAATTGAGCTGACTTGGTAGGCTACAGATGACAAATTCATGGAAGACAGTTATGAGAAAAACTGTTAAGGGAGGTTGGGACCCTGTTTGTAATGGGCATTGAAACCTGTGCCAGGAATGTAGACTCTAATAACCATCGATATCACAAGTCCTTCGCAATAAGCGAGGGAGTTGTATGATTGAAGCAGTGCCGTAATAGTTCTAGAAAGATTGCAGAGGAGAGCGGTGAAGCAAGAAGGCCGTAAAGATGCTGTTAAGTGTCTAGGCACCACATCTCAAGATAAGGGGAATGGGGGCAAGGGATTTTTAGTTAGATCTATTTGTATAAAATGAATAAAATATGGAGAGTAATTAGATACTGTTGGTTTTAGGAACAATACAAAGAAAAGTAATGACTCCGTGAATAAAAATACACAGGTCTGGAGAGAGAACTGGAAAGGGCAATACAAATGGAAATTCCCACCATATTGTTTCTTATAAGGAAAGAAATTTTAGAGCTACAACATTGCTGAAGGAAAATATTTGTAGTCATCAGTACAGCTATGAAAGTTGAAGCTAAGAGGGTGGGCAGGCTTCTTATGGACTCCATACGAGATGAGAAGAGTCATATAGCAAAGGCTATGATTAGGGCATGCCCACAATTAATCCCGTAAAGAATCCAGTATAGGACAAGGGAATGAGTTTTCAAAAAATTAAAAGGACTAAAAGAGATAGAGTATTACTGAATCTAAAAAAGTCTTAAAAAGAAGAGTTGGTAGTTTTCTAAGGTACAACAGAAAGATAGACAAAGTAAGGACTGGCAGCCAGCCATTCTAACGTACGGTTATGAGGTGCCTGTAGGATTCTAAAGGTGCAGGTTTCAGAAAGTGAAGAATAAGGGGGAGTACATGCATAATTCAGGCCTGACAGGTTATCAGTTTTGGTTTCTCTCCATTCAATCATTCACAACATATTTGTGGAGCACCTCCAATGAGCTTTAGGGATTGGGGATGTAGCAGTGGACAAAACAAATTCTTTCATGCTTCTTATATTCTAACAGGGAAACAAATGTATATCAAGTGGTGATGAGTTAAAGAAGAAAAATAGGAAAGAATGGCTGCGTTGGGTCTTCATTGCTGTGCGCGGGCTTTCTCTAGTTGTGGCGAGCGGGGCCTACTCTTCGTTGCAGTGCACAGTCTTCTCACTGTGGTGGCTTCACTTGTTGCAGAGCACGGGCTCTAGGCACATGGGCTCAGTAGTTGTGGCTCGCAGGCTCTAGGGCGCAGGCTCAGTAGTTGTACAGCACGGGCTTAGCTGCTCCGCAGCATGCGGGATCTTCCTGGACCAGGGCTCGAAACCATGTCCCCTGCATTGGCAGGCGGATTCTTAATCACTGTGCCTCCAGGGAAGCCCCGGGGATGCTTTTTCTTCTCTTATTTACCAGTGTTCCATCTTTGCATCAGACTCAAGCATGGCCACAGGCTTATTTCAAGAATTATTGAAAAACTGCAAAATGCCATTGGAGAATGGAGTCACTTCTTGGCCTTGCCCTTTCTTATAGAGCACACTCCTTAGAATGTCTGACTCTATTCATGTCGTTTATACAGAAGAATTAGCCCTTTCTGCAAAATTTAAAGATTTTGTAGAAGCTGTGGGTAGAAAGATAAAACTGAGGAAATACAAGGAAATAGAGTGCCAGTCCCAAGATATCTTTTTCTCTATGTCTGTCTTAAACAGATCAGGAAGAAGATCAAGTTATTTTATTTTAAGGAATTGGTTGCCTTAAATGTATTAAGGACCATATTAACACAACACACATGTGCCTCCTACTGACATGGCTTGAGCGTATTTTCATCTAAACTCAGTGGAATGAACAAATATGAAAGCTTCTACAATAATTCATGGTTAATAATAATTCAAGGGCTTCCCTGGTGGCGCAGTGGTTGAGAGTCCGCCTGCCGATGCAGGGGACACGGGTTCGTGCCCCGGTCCGGAGGATCCCACATGTCGCGGAGTGGCTGGGCCCGTGAGCCATGGCTGCTGAGCCTGCGCGTCCGGAGCCTGTTGCTCCGCAACGGGAGAGGCCACAACAGTGAGAGGCCCGCATACCGCAAAAAATATATATATATAATAACAATTCAAAGTCATGGCCTTCAGCATGCACAAATAAGAAATGCATAGGCAAGTTCTGATTTAATTTAACACTTTTTGCAAGGTCAGTTTGCTTAATAAGGAATATGAATGAATAAGGAAATCATGAATAAGGAAACCATGTTTCAAGCAGGACAGAAATCAATGCTGAGTGCTGGAGAGAAGGCCCTTTCACTACGTTGATTAACCTTGCATTACCTTCTTAAAATGAATATATCTATAAACACAGGAAATTTCACACTTCCCCAGACAGAAGGTAATTAAAATTGCCTTCTGTGTCTGTTTAGTGGAGGATATGTGATGATATTCTGCCTTTATTTAAAACAACCTTTGGTATTAAATGTTGTCTTACCTAAAAAGCAATACGGCAGAATGACTTTTATTACAGATGGTAATTTATGAAAAATGTAGCCAAAGGAATTGATGTCAAACTTTTGTCTGCAAGCTCTATTTACTTTCATATTGCTCACTATTTACCAAGGTTTGCTATAGCACTAGGCACTATCTCAGCTGGCATTCTGCCTGTTTATATTTTTTAAAGTGGTTTTGTTTTTTATTCTCATACAGCATTGGAGCTAATTACAGCTGCTCACTCTTCTAGTTCAACCCCCAAAGCTCTCCGTTTTCTTTGGGTTTTGCTTTCACTCACAGGCATAATATTTTTTTTTCCATTTTGTGTCTGATCCTCTTTCATATACAGCCAGGAGAGGAGCGTCCTCTGCCACAGAGAATGAAAAGGCTTTTAGAACTAATTTTCATTTGCTGTGCAGTGCCCATGGCGTTCTTGGAGTGTGTGATGTGCTATCATCAGGTTTTGATTATGCAATTGAAATGCAAAAAGTTTAAAATCTCAGCTTTATTGGCCTTAGCAGTTTGCACTCTTCCAAAAGCTCTGTTAGAACAAATACATGATCCCATTTGGTTTAAAATTACTACATGTTTTAAGGAAAGGAATCTAATAGATGATGCTTAGAGAGAAACTGGTGTTTTGAAATTTTATACTGTATTTTTATGCCAATTTTGTTCATTTTTTTCTGTTAGAAATTGTCTTATTTGAATATGATTTAAATTTGGAAAAAGTGCCCAAATGTACCTTGTCTCTCAATTTGCTGGCAAAGACCTGGGAGGAGAGATCTTTATCAAAATATTCTACATAGAAGTAAATGCAGTTAAAAAAAAAAAAAACTGGCTGTTTGTACTTTTTTTTCACCTTGCAAGTCTTCCACTTCACATCACTTTGAACGGGAGGGGACCTTGGATTATTGTAAAAAGCAAAACAATCTGTTTTCTTGGGAAGGACCTAAAAATCTGTGTATCTGCATGGATATGTGAGTGTGTGTGTGCCCACCCATTATTCTAGGCTAATCAAGAAAAGACTTCGGTAAACATGCAAAATTAGAGCAACTTCAGTTAGGTTTTAAGGGTCTTGTAGTTGCATCCATGAGACTAGACTAGAAATTAAAAATGAGCTCTACTGTAGGGGATGTGGCTTGCTATATTTTCTCTTCCTCCACTGATTCAGATATTGCTTGGTGTCTTAGAAGCTGATGTAGGG